TTGGGGGCTTTTCTGGAAAGAATTACCATGGTATTGGTATCTATCCTGCATTTGTTCAGCCATTCTGGGTGGTCTCTTCGGAAAAAGAACAGTTGAACATATGGGACTTCAGTCCACTCTCCCTCCCTTTTACAGAACATATCTAATTGAATAATGGTATTCCCTCCTTCTGGCCATCTTTCCTCATCTCCCAGAGGATACTGTGGCCAAGCCTGAGTGCAGTAAAACTTGAGTCTCTTTTGCTGAAGACTTTCTGGATCAAGATCTTTCCAATGTTTTAAAAAGCAGGCAAGAGGGTATCCTTCCTGGATCCTTGAAGCTTGATTCCCCATCTAAAACAGGGAAACAAGGGAAAATTGGTCAGCTGAACAGAGGTTTCTCCTTTTATCTAAGTGTCCCCAGATAAGGAGAAACTCTAGTAGGAGAGGGCGTCCTGCTCTCCCTTGCTCCTGCCACTGCCACCTGAGGCTAAGGTCGTGGAGGATTTTTAGGTATTTCGGGTGCAGCCACCCCACCAAAATGACCTTTGACCAATCTCTTATCTATTTTGACTTGCCTGTTTGCCCTGCGACCGAGATACCTGGTTCTCCTCTACCAGCTGAAGACTTGTAATTTAAAAATAACTCTTATCAAAGTAACCAAGAAGGCTTGCATGGCCAGAGGGAGGACCCCTGCAGAGGCATGGATGGGGACTCCTGATGAAGTAGACTCCTGTCCCCCTATATATCCTGTGAGGCATATATTTTCTATGAAAAGAGAGGGAGCATCTGAAGGCTTTTGCTCCAGAGAAGACCATGAAGTCCCTGCCTTTTAAGTGTTTGGGGTTTTTTTCTTTCCCTGAGGGCAGGCTGTAGAACCTGTTTAACCAGTTAACCTGATGCTTGACAAAAACAGTTAACCTAAATTGGAGATTAGCACTTTCTGGTGTCTGCAGGGATTTTCCCCAAACTCCCTGAAGAAGGAAGCCCACTGCTGTTTAGAGCAAAGGGTGGAGGGGGACACTCATCCTGAACTACTTGGGAAAGGGGAATGGAGAAGGCATCCTGAACTACTGGGAAAGGGAAGCGCCTTTGCAATCTCAGCGCGGGTCAGGAAGTTGCATCTCCAGCCTTCGGGTGACACCAGGGAGTGCCCCGACTAGAACACCTTTATAGCTTGAAGAGAAACTTTCTTTTCCACCTGCTGTTTTCAGACCTCCTCTTAAGCAGGTCAGATCTTGAAAAAGAGAGTTAGAGTTTAAGGAGAGGAAAAAGAAAAAGCCTTGGTGCACTGAAGTCAGGCTCTGCCCACATAGCATTGGCAATGCAGTATAAGCCCCCAGCTGGCACAAAAGTTCTCTCCGGTTGCCTTCCTTACAGCTGTAATGGGCTCGGAGCTTTTCCTCAGTCTCCCAGGGGAGAAACCCTCCTTAACGAGAGAGGGAGAGAGAGAGAGAGAGAGAGAGAGAGAGAGAGAGAGAGAGAGAGAAACAAAATTTGGCCTGAGAGGTCCACCGTAGCTAGGCTCTCCTGGAGAACAGATTCCATCAGAGTGCTGGATGGTCACAGTCACCTTCCTAGGCAGCCTTTCCCAGTCTGGCACAACCTATACCAACCTCAGTTGAAGGCTTGTCCCTTCATGCATCACCAAATATGATGTACAGATGACACACACGGGAATTTCAGGTGCTCAGGGTTCTTGAGCCCACTCTGAGAATGAAAGCACAGGTGGACTGCAGCAGCAGAGGTTGGAAAGATTTTATTTGTAGAGAAGAGAAGAGAAAGACTGCACAGTGGGGAATGCAGGGGGACCAGGAAACCGGTGGTCCCGTGGGTTGGGCTGGGGATTGGGTTTATAGCCTTTTTGAGTATTGCCTGAGGGCAGAGATGCCTTTCAGATGCAGACAGAAGTTTTCTGGGAAGGAGAGGTGTCTCCTTGACCACTTACCACCTTTTGGGACCTCCTGCAGTCCGTCCTTCAGGCACACAGGGTCCCCGCTCCTTTTATACATGCTTGTGGCAGTGTTAGGCCAGGCTCAGGCATGTTAGGTCCTGAACCACAGAAACTGACCCAACCCTTCAACCTCCCAGGATGTTTAGGCCCTGGTGGACTTGGAGTATTGTAGAACATGAGTAGAACTGAGTAAGATAACATGTGCAGAGGATGCTGCCACAGAACCTGTATGCAGCAGGTCCTCACCTCAGGTTCTGCATCTCTGGCCCTTCCAGGCTTGTCTTAGGCCCAGCCCGCCCCCTTAATATCACCAGCTTCCAGCTAGAGCAAACACTGTTGTGTCAGGAACATCCTGCTGTGTGCCCTCCCTACATACCTTTGTGTTTTCTCTTTAACCCATGTACTTAATTTTGTAGTTTAGGCTAGATGTGATGGCACATGCCTGTAATCCCAGTACTTGAGAGCTGAGACAAGGGGATTGTGAGTTCAAGCCCATTCTGGGCTACATACCAAGACTTTGTCTCAAAAAAAAAAAGTTTGTGATTTAGTTTTTACAATATTTTGAAGTTTTCCAGATAACTGCTATTGGTTTCTGATTTAATTCCATTGTAGCCAGAGAACATACTCTGTGTAACTTGAATCCCAAATTTGAGGGATTTGGTTTCAATGGCCTAGAATGTTCCAGAGCACTTGAAGGTTGTGTGCCTACTGCTGTTGAGTGGGGTGTTCTCCACATGTCATTTCGGTCAGGTGAGTGGATACACTGTGCACATCTTCTAGTTCCTGGTTGAGCTCCTGTCTGCTGATTTCATTAATTACTGAGAGCGGGGAATTGAAGTCTCCAACTTCAATTGTAAGCTTGATTGCTCCTTGTAGCTCTGCCAGGTGACCTTTTGTGTGTTCTGAAGCACTGTCACAAGAGACATAAACATGAGGTCTGTTGTGTCCACTTGATAAATCAACATCCTTATCACTACACAATTATCCTTGGCAATACATTGGATATAAAATCTACTTTGTGTGATTAACACAGTCAGTGCAGCTTTCTTTTCACTGCTTTGTTAACACGGTATATCCTTTTACATTATTTCACTTTTAACCTATTTGTATCTGTGTATTTAAACTGCATTTTTTGCAAGCAGTTGATAGGGCTGGGTGTTTTGCTTTTTTCTTATCTGATGACCTCTACTTTCAGTCAGCCGGTTTACACTATTTACACTCAGTGTGATTGTTGATAAGGTTAGGTTTGCATCTGTCATTGTCCTGTGTGTTTTCTGTTTGCCGTCTGTCTTTTGCTTCCTCTTTCTCTGAAAGCACTGAAGGAGGACAGCCTGGCTCACCTAGTTCCTGTCTCTCGGGGATCATGGTCCTTCATTGCCTGATTACCAGTGTCCTGAAAACTGTTGTTTCACAGGTGTTTTCTGGTTTGGGTCACTTCTCAGGAGAGTAAATCTTGGCCGTTCTTCCATGCCTTTGAATATGTTGCCCCACTGCTTGGAACAGGCAGGCTTTGCTCTAACTAGCTGAATTACCTGTGCTCAGCATTGCCTCCAGGAAGTCTTAATGGCATTCTGCCTCTTCTCCCTCCCACCTGGGGGCTGGGCTAGCCGCCCACTGCCGGTTCTCCTCTCTGGCACTTGCACTGAAGTGTCATTGAGAATTCTCTTGTCTGTCATCTTAGTTAAACAACAAGATCCTTGAGGGCAGAGCCCTTTGTGGGAGTTCACTTCACTTTGGGAACTTCTGGCAAAAATGTAGGGCTTTGAGAAATATGCAGCAGTATTCAAGCTTGAGTTGAAAAGCAATCATATCTTTATAACTGTTTTGGATTCAGTCATTTTGTTCAAGTTAAAAATGATTGATAGGAAAAATAAAAGCTGAATATAACAAAAAATTACAGGCCTGAAAAAGGAGCAACATTTCATTTTGTCAAAAATAAAGATGGTGACTTTTGGGACATGTTGCCTGATTCAGATTCAAAGTTATGACAATGCTACTGTGGTCTGCAGAACCTCTGGTCTATTCAGCCATGTGTGTGTAGGCATTTCAAAATGGAAGGCTTAGGCACATTCTACAAGACCAGACCCTGAAGGACCTTGTCACTTCTAAATACAGGGTTAAAAAAAAAAAAAAAAGAAGAAAGAAAAAAAAATTTAATTAAAATTTCAATTGTCTGTCTTGTGTCCTGGCCTGCCTGCTCTTTGCCATAGCTGATCACCAGTGTGAAGGCCCTGCCCTCGTCGGGAGGAGCTTAGCTATCCAGTGATTCCAGCCATGGCCCTGACCTACACACCGTATGCTCAGATTTGGCCTCTGAAAACAAGGCCCATTTTCCCAAATGGCCTGGGACAAATTTGTCATTTTCAGAGAAAGCAGAGAGTAAACAGGAGGTTGAGTGTCAGGCTTGGAAGAATGGAAGAGTTCTGGGCATGTGAACCAACCAGGCTGTGGCCAAGAGTGGAGGCCTGTGGTCGGGCCAAGCTAGAAGGCATAGCTTCATAAAGTGCCTGAAAGATCATCGTCTGGAAGGAGACCCAAGGGCAGCACTAGGACCAGTAGGAGACAGCTGGACAGGTGGATGTCACCTAGAATAAGCCCCAGCTTTTTTTTTTCTTTTCTTCTGGCAGTACTGGGGCTTGAACTCAAGGCTTCACGCTTGCTAGGCAAACTACTTGAACAACTCCACCAGGCCTTCTTTTTTTGTGATGAATTTTTTTCAAAATAGGGTCTTGCTGACTATTTGCCTGGGACTAGCTTCAAACTGTGATCCTCCTGATCTCTGCCTCCTGAGTAGCTAAGATTATAGGCATGAACCCCGGCACTCAGCAAGGGATGCTCCAGAGCAACCTGACTTTTTCGACTGTGGTCAGAGAGGCTGGGGAACCAGTCATCATTCTGGATGAAACTCATACCCACAGCCTCCCCCACCAGAGTGGAGTGGATGGGGGCAAGTCAGCTATGACCTCAGACAGTGCACTCAGCCTCCTCCCCTAATACAAAAGGCCTGACCAGGGGATCTATGGAGCCCCCGGCCTCTGTGACACTTTCTCATGTGCTCTCCCTCCCAGGTCCTCATTCCCACGACCCGATGCAACTCCCACAAAGAGAACATCCAGGGCCAGCTCAAGGTCCGCACACCTGGCATCTACATGCTTATTTTTGACAACACCTTCTCAAGGTAGGAGTCCCCTTCACTGCCCCCAGGTGGAGCCACCTGTTTTCACGCTCACAGATTATTCAGTTGTCAAGTTTATCATTAACAGTTCTCTGATTTAGACCCGTCTACTCTGTGCTCAGTGCTCACTGTAGGTTTTAGAAAGCAGGAAGACACAGTGTCTTCCCACGTGCTGGCAATTCATTCCCACCCCATAGCATCCCCATGTCCTAGGGGCTTGCCTTCCAGCTCCTGTCACTGCAAAGGGTACTGAGGACTAGAGGTATGGAGAAGTGACACTCTCAATCACTGTGCTAGTGGTGGAGCCTGACCTGATCAGGTAGCCCCACTCCAGAGTCTGGACTCTTTACGGTGTGTTCTCATCCTCTCCCTGAGGTCAGTTTCCACTGTGCAGCCCAAAGGGACTCAGGAAAGATAGTGGAAGGCCTGAACAAATGAATAAAGGAGAAAGAAAGAGATGAAAGGTGGAAGGGAAAAGCTTGAGACAAACAGAGTGAAGACTGCTAGGCAAAGCCCCCAGGCTGCATCACATGAACAGCCTTCCTGGTCTCGGGACACAACTCTGAGGGTCAGCTGCAGGCTCAGGAGGGTCTAGTATGGGGAATGGTCAGGATGGGACTGTAGAGAAGTGAGCCTGGAGGGGCAGCCAGGGAAGGGAGCAGGACAGACGACCAACACCAACAGTACCTCCAGTGAGCAGGAGACGAGGCACGTTCCCTTCTAGTTCTTCTGGCTTCAAGATAAGCCTTTTCATTGGGGACTGCCTCTTAGAGACCTGCCAGGGTTGTGGCTACCACCCTTTCCCCATAGGCACTTGGCTTTTAGCAAACGACTTGATAGGACACTAGGGAAAAGCTGTGTCACCACCTTGCTGCCTCCAGACCCTGAACTCCCAGGGCTGTGGCTAGGGTGTCTGCCACAGGAGAGGTTAGAGTTGACCTTCCCATTGTTCCTTTCCTGGACCTCCCTGTACTGCCCTGGAGTAATGGACTCCTCCCCCCACTGTCCCCAGAAGGGACAGTGGTTAGGAGATTGGCTTGGGTTGGTCAGGCCCGAGTGCTGCTCTTCATGCTGTGACCCTAGTTGAGCCTGTTTCCTCTGTTTAGTAGCTGAGGACTATCAGTGCCTTACTAACGCCCCTCCCCCCAACCCCCTGGTGGATTGATGTAGAGGCCAAGAGAGATGTGACAAGGACACATACAGCCTGGAACAGGCTCCTAGTGACCACTGGAAGTGATTTTGGTCGCCTGGCCCCTAGAGATCATCTCAAGGCCTACTTGAGATTTTTAAACCACAGAGGGCAAAACTGATTGAGATGCCAAGTGGGAATGAAGTCCCTACCAGCCTCTACCATATACCTCCTCCTGACACCTGGTCTGTCTGTTCCTCATGCAGTGCTGACTGCTGCAGTGCCAACTCAGAGCAGCCAGGTGAAGGTAATGGAGTTCACAACTTTGCTTCTTCACCTGAGCCCCAGGATGTCCACAGTGAGGTCCCCAAACACCCTGACCTTCTGCAGGAAGAGAACTCTGGTAGACAGGCAGGAGATGGGGCTGAGGGACCTGAAGCGCTCAGGGTGTCTGTGAGGTGCTCAGTCATCTGAGCAAAGGTCTCTCCATCCAGGGCCATGCTTCCAGCTCCCACCCCCATCCAGGCCCATGCAACGACCACAAAGGCCCCAGCAGCAGCTGCCACCCTCACATTGTCAGCTCAGAGGCTGACACCTTTCCCTTTGCATTTCTGTTTCCTCAGGTTTGTCTCCAAAAAAGTATTTTACCACCTGACGGTTGACCGGCCTGTGATCTATGATGGAAGTGACTTCCCATAGTGTCAGGCACCTGGATGTTGGTAACCTCACTTCTTCCACAGGAAACACTACTCTTCCTCACCTGTCACGAAAAGGACAAAAAAAAGAAAAAAGAAAAGAAAAGATAAGGAAGCAGCTGTGCCCAGCTCAGCAGCTCTGCAGCACTGGTAGAGAGGCCCCAGCTGCTCAGAAGCTCTGCTGTCTGGGCACACCACCCATTGCCGCTCACAGTCCCTGTGGCTCCCAGGGGCTCCAGCCACATTTCCACTTGTGAGAGATCCAGCTTCCTCTCCCCCAAAGGGATACCTGCCAAAGATTTAGACTCTCAAGAGGCTGGTAGTCTTGCCTGGAACCCAGTAGGTGACCACCTCCTGTGGAGAGTTTCACAGGCCAGGTGTCTTCTCAACTTGTACCTCAGAGAGGGATGTCCTGCCCATGGCCAGGCTTCCTGGTGGCCATGAGTCAGCTGACCTGGCCATTCTCTGTGAGTCCTCAGGCTGTGAGGCCCTCAGGCAATTCCAGGAAAAGGAGACCACATGGCCACCATGCAAGGTGGAGTGTGGGAAGTGAGGGTGCCCCCCAGCCTCCTCCTCCTGTCATGCTGCTGTCCCTTACTGGCCCAGTAGGTATGGCACTGCTTCAGTACTCAGCAGTTTGGGAAGGGCTCTGAACTGTACTTTCCTCCTGGCCCTTGTATCCTCAGGCAATGCCCTCCACCCAGCCAGGCTTCTCAGAAGCTCAGAAATCACCTTAAAAACCAACTAAGATAGCTGGGAAGCCACATCCAACCTATGCTGTGGCTGGGGCCCAAATGATGGCTGGAATTGACCCATGAGCACAAAGTAGAACCATGCATTGGTCTCCAGGGCTCACTCCTCAGCTGACGTCCTCACAGGCAGATGTTTTCTAACAAGAACCAGGATCAGAATCACTTTCAAACACTGGGATCTGTAAAACAGAAGTCTGATAACTTAAGAACCAAAGTATCAGAGGCATGGTTTATTCTTGTTCCTGTCCCCCACCTGTTAGCCCCAATACCCATTTTCCTACTTCCTGCTGCTTGGCTTGCACCTGACACCCAGGAGACAGCTTCTCTGGAGCCAGGTAGATCTTGTTTCCTTTTTCTGGACAAGAGTTAGATCATCTTCCTATTCTCTGAGGCCCTTTTCTTCTCCCACCACAAACAACTCACCTTTGATGTCCCATATGAGGCTAGCCACCTATAGTCACATGGGCAGAGCATCTTACGAAGCAGCCCACTTTGGCCAGGGGCAATGGAGAGAGCACTGTACAAGTTGGCAGAGGATCTAAGTTCTGGTCCATGCTATTCCTCCATCTAGCCTTGACCCAAGTCAAGTCACACCCCCTCTCATAGCTTCACTTGTCCATCCAGAACCCTGGGGTACCCTGTTAAAAGGCTTGAGAATAGGTCAGAGTCTCCAGGTCAGGTCCAGCACAGACCCTAGGCCTACCATGGACTAGGAGCCCCTGTCACATTACCAGCAGAGAGGGCACTCATGGGCCACAAATAAAGGGAAGTGACTTCTGAAATGCACTCAGCCTTTAACCTAAACAGGGGAATCGGGCATTTGCAGTCAGGGTGATCTGGATCAAGGAGAAATGAGCAGAATCCTTCAAAGAGCTCAACCCAGAGAAAAGCTGGACCTCTGTGTTCTTTGTCCTCAGAGCAGCCTCTCTGGCAGAAAGCTGTCAGGTGCTCTGTCATCTCCTGCTGGCCAGACTCTTCCTGGCCTAAGTGTGTACTCACAGGCATGCCACATGGTCTGAAATTGCTCAGGATCCAATATTCCTGCCATTGAACCCATCCACTTTTTTGAAAAGAGTGATCAGAAGTCAGCTTACTCACCATGAGAAAGAAACTACCACAAGAACACCCAGCACCATCTAGAATCTTATTTTGAGTGTCTGGCGTTCCCAGCATATCTTGGAGACTCTGGAGTTGCCCCTGGTAGCAAGAACCCTTTTCACTCAGCAGCTCATGTGTTTTGACCTGTGAAGGGCCTGGACCTTCCACCTGAGTTTCTGGACATCTTTCACAAGTTACAGCAAGAAACCAGTTGCAGCTTAAAAGACTACTTGGCTCTTGTGAAGCCAACCCAGAACCGCTCCCCAACTGCCTTGTATGAAATGCCTTTACTGCATGCTGAGCACTGTCCAGGCCCCAGTGTTCACTTCCTGACTCTCTGGTTTCAGTAGCATATTTTTTGTGCTGACTGGATGTTTGTACCATATTAGTTCACTATTGAGGCTCCAGTTTGCTGTGCACTACATAGCTAGAGAACATCTTAGCCTTTTCAAGTGTGGCTTTTACAAATAGCTTTATTCTTATTTTAAGCAGTTCCCAGCTTTACTGAGGACTGGTGGTTGAGCTAATTTTTTTTAAATGCAAATGACAATTGAAGAATCACTGTTGTAGAAGGCAGCCCAGCTGACTGACGTACACTAGAAGTCATAAGGAAACATCCCGGGGATCCCAGATTAACCACTGCCACTGAAGCCACTAATCTATGTCACCCAAGAAACACATCAGTTTCCAGACATGCTTATCAGCAAACAGGAAAGCACGTTGGGGATAAAGTGTGATCCTCCATGTCCAAGTGGACTCTACCCAGCATTTCTAATGGAAACACACTGGACTCTGGTAGACTGAACCAAGGACAGATAAAGAAGTTCTCAAGCAGGAATCTGGAACTGAAAATCCCACAGGATTTGGAAATTAGAAATAAAAAGCCACATTGTATAACTCAAAAATAAAGGAAATGGTGTTTTCTGAAGTTTTCCAGTTGTCACCTAAGATGATGAAGCCATTCCTGGCGCAAATGGAAGGAAGCCCTCATTCAGGGATGGACCCCAGAGTCCATGTTTTTGATATAGTTTCATGCTCATTGATTTTTATCAGAGTTTCCTTTTTAGAAGTCCACCTCAATATTCTACCTGGGAGAATTATTCAGGCAAAAAAGCCATTCTTGGCTCAGAAGTATTGGGAATTAAGGCAGAGAGAAGCATATGGTGCTCAGAACCAAGGGCTATCATATGCCTAAAGACCATTGGGACAGCTACTCAGGTTTACAGAAGCAAGCGCTGCTTAGTTTTCCTCATTTCATTGCGATTCTTCAAAGGAAATGAGAAAGATGGAATTAATCATTCCCTTTTCCTCTTAGGCACCTTTTAAAAACAATAAAGTATAGCTTTAAATTTCAGGAGGTATCTCCTTAAGAAAAGGGCTACTTTTAGAGCTCGATGATGTGTGTTACCTAGAGTTGCTCTGCCTCTGATGGCCTCTGGTGGCTGCAGCAACACCCAAGCCTCTGTAGACAGACATCAATCGGAATGCACTTTAACTGACTAATCCTCTCTTCAAGTGGCCTTATAGGATGGCGACTCTGAGAACCCATTTCATTCTTACCTACCAAAGAATTACTCAGAAGCACATCAGATACTAACACCCCACCTGCACAATCGGGGTGAGAAAACTTTGTATCCCAAAACATACTCCTTTACAGCATCTGTATATTTTTTAACCTTGGGATTTAAATAAAGTGAACACTATGACATTTAGAGAAGTATTGTCTTTCATTCCTTTGAAAAGGACCAATCCAAAGACGTACCCAGACCCATCCTGAGCTGCACTACCCAATAGGGAGGCAAAACATCTCTTAGGGTGGCTTTGTAAATGTGTGAGCTAGGACATAGACTGAGGATTTGCCATGTGGCCTGGCATCCAGATACTTCCTGTCGCTCCCCAAGGGTGGGGTTCAGACCTGCCTGAGCCCATATGCCTGCCCTTCCACTGTCCCCTGCCCACTGATCTTTGCCCCCATTCGCATGACCCCAGCTCTATCCCATGGTAAGGAACTTCTAATTTGCCAGCATGGTGAAGTGGTGGAGAAAGACCATAGGGTCTAAAACAATGATTAATCAATAGGTGGCTGGCTGGCAGGGCAGCAAAGAGCCTGGCCCCAGGCACAGGGCCATGTTCTGGCCATTCCTGCACACCAGATTGAAGTCAGACTGGGTGGCCCAGCCACAGACCCCTCACCCGATGTGTGGGAATGACCAAAGGCTCCATCCCTCAAGTGCCCTGTGCCTCAAAGAACATCATCCAGCACCCACCGTACCCTCTTCCTCCTTCTACCTCCCCGCAATTTTCTTGTGATTGCCTCTTTAATCAGTCACATTTTCCATAGCTCATCCTCCCTCAAGGGCAAGGGGCTGTGTCTCATTCATCTTCATCACCCCCCACCTTCCACACCCCATAGCATGGAGCAACGTGCTAGACACAAGAGGACTCAAAATGTACTGAGTCAGTGAAGACGCTGGACAGTCTCAATGCCTTGGGACAGCTAAAAGTCATCTGCAGTCCCATTAGCCACCAACTCTGCCAGGGACAGAAGCTTCTGAAGCCCTCTAGGGCAGAAAAGGGCAAAAGGCAGCCTACAGGAGGGGATAGGAGGACAGCAGATGTGTCTGGTCACTTGGTCCTCTTATGTTGAAGATGCCTTCAAATCAGTCCTCTAACCATTTGTTAATGGAGTGAAGTAATGGAAAGTTCGTTGACCTAAATGTCGAAAGCAACATGTCAGGATTTCTTTGCTAATGTAACAGTGCCTCCAGAGGCTTGGTGGCCACAGGGTAGAGGCTGGAATGAGAACCAGCCGAGACCCACACACGTATGCATGCTGCATCTGGGGCTGGCATCTGGGAACCGCCAAGTCAGAACCTTCCATTCAGCCTCACCCCACCTGCTAAAACCACTGAGGAACAAGCTGGCCAGTCTCTGCTGGAGGGTTTCCAAACCCACATCCAAGAAGCTTGAATCCCAGTGATCCTAGCTCAGTTCAGGGTCTGAGATGCCTCAGCATACAAAGGTGCCCCGCCTGTCCCAGCCACAGCCACCCAGATGGTGCTAGAGACTCCCTGGGTGACTCAGAAGGCTCTCGCTGCAAGGTGAGCCCTTTCAGTTTGGAAATGCATGGGAAAAATCTCTCACCACCCACATACACTCATCTGAAAAGCAAATAGATGAAACTTGTCACCTGATGAGAAAACGGACTTTTTTTTTTTTTTTTGAGGTAGCAGTTGAAGCTAAAGCCATCAAAACCCAGGGGGATATCATAGTTATTATGAAAGATGTGCAAAGTGGGTTAGGGTTGAAAGAAAGGGCAGCCTTTGACTTTCCCTTCACCCGCCAGCTTCTGACGAAGGATGGTAAAGCCAGCAGAAGTGTGATCACCACCCCTGGCCTTTGATGTGGCCCCTCTGCATCCCCATACCACAGACTCTGTGGGAGAGCAGACAGTGTGGTGTCCTCACAACCTTCTGGCACGTCTGCACTGTGGTTATCTCAGAGCAAGCGTGATGCCTGGAGTAAACGAAGTCTTCTTAGCTAAAAAGTGTATAAACCAGACAGGCCTTGCAAAGACACATGTGTCCTCACTAAGAAGAAGGCCCCATTTCTAGACTACTTTGGCTTCAGTCTGCAGGTCCACAGAATCAGAGATGATTTTGTGAGGGTCTCTCCAGCTCTCTGTCCCCAGATGGACTCTAGCTGAGTCACAAAGAGAGAAGGAAACCATTTCCTGGAGGCCCATCTCTAGGTCAGTGGAGCAGGTGCTGTCTTCTTCCTGACCTGAAGAAAGGATAGCTGGCGAGAAATGTGGGGGGCATAAACCAAACAGAGAAGAAAAAAGGGATGAGAACAGAGGAATTTACAGGAGGGGCCTTCCCCGGCTGCACTCCAGGCTAGGTTAGTAGACTCCATCTTTGTCATGGAGGAAAGGAATAGTGGGGAAATAGTGTCAATGTGGCTGAAGCCAACCACCACATATGGGCAGGCAACATTTTACTGTTAGCAAAATCTGGATCATGGCCTCATCAGATACCAAGACAGTGACTGCAGACAGTCCAGTGTGTTTCACTGCCTCTGAAGCCTGCTTCAAGGCCTCATCTGACCCAAAGGGCAGCAATTTCAGTCCCTCAGGAGCCTGTGCACAGAGATGGGGTCCAAGTGTGGGCCCTGACATCATCACAAAGGCATCTATCTACACCAGCAAAAAAAAAAAAAGAGGATCACACATTGTATCCTGGAAGTAACACTGGAAGAGGCACAGGGAAGCCAGAATCAATCCTGAATGTGGCTTCCAGCCTCCGTGATTATCAGAAGTTCCGTGATCAAACCATGGGAAAGGCCCACCATTTCCCAGGGCTCCAGTGTAGTCCAGATTCCACTGTTTGTTATATTAAGTGTCACTGCATATAAATAAAGCAATCAGCACAAGGGTCTGACACAAGGGTTCTCTTGCTTTGGTTACCTAGTGGCCTATAAAGTGCAGCTTTCTAGGCACCACCCATGCCAACCCTGGTTCGCCAGATCTGGTCACTTACGAGTCTTCAAGCAGATTTGGTTAGAATGTGAAGAAAGGGGTACAATGAACTAACTGGTCTGTCTCCTAATTGAACTCTACCAGTGATCTCCAAGATTAGAACCAGACTTTTTCCTTGATCCTTTGGCCCATCACTTGGATGCAGTGATGGAAACTTTATTCTTGGAAGGGTGATGTTCTTAAATGAATTCTCTAGTATGAAACTATTTTACAGATGAAATAATTTTTTACAACCACAATTCTATGGCCTATCTTTTGATGCAAGGGTCTGTTGCTCGCCGGCAGATCATGTGTAAATGGAGAAACACCTCTTTCCCCAAATCCAAAGTTGTCCCATCCACATCCAGATTTTAACAATTCAGAGAGAGACATCTGAGTTTGGTGCCAGTGGCGATGGTCCAGGGAGGTCAGGTTAAGCAGGAGTTCCTAAACTGTCCACACACTAATTTTAGAAGGTCTATGAGCTTGGTGGGAGAAAAATGGCATCTTTTCCCTAACCTCTAGCTAAAACTTAGGTCTTCCTTGAGTTATGAATATGTATAACACACTACACTGCTGTGTAGACCTGTGACTTTGTCACCAGTGGACAGAGTAATATGAATCCAGATATTTTCATATTACATAGCAGTTGTTACAAAGTCTCAAATATTATTTATGCTCATCCCCACTCCAAAACAAAACTTATTACATTTGCTGATTTTATGTAAATCGTTAATAAAAAGGCACATGTATTATGTGATTGTAAACTTGATTGGATTGAGAAACACGTAGCAAAGCACAGCTCTGGGTTGTGTCTGTGAGGATATTTCCAGAGATAATTAACCAAGAGGGGGAGACGCGGCCTGAATGTGGGCAGCACCATCCCATATTCTGAGGACCCAGATAAAAATGGGGCATATTCATTCTCTCTCTCTCTCTCTCTCTCTCTCTCTCTCCTTCCTGATTCAAGGTGCTCTGTTCCACCACTCCCTGACACCATGAACAAAATAATTCCTCCCTTAAAGTTGCTTTACTCAGATATTTGTTACAGTGACAAAAATCTGACTAACACATATTACTGTTTCATGCATTTGTTTCACTGTTTGCAAATTTGCATTTCAACATAATTTGTTTCCTCTGTAATCCTATATATTTTATTATATGATTTTAAAACATTCTGAGATCAGATTGTCAAAAGGTGCATGGAGAAGGAATGTGAGAGGAGGGAGGGAGAAAGGAAGATAAGTTTAAGAACCATTGAGTTCTGACAGTTCTTCATAAAAATGAAGAGAAGGATCAGCCCATTGCAGCACTGGTTTGTGAATGATACCAGTAGTAGTCTATATAATTCAACAGACTCTTGCCGTAGGTTTGCTAGCTTTTAGAGAGGAAGGAACCAAGACTCAGGTTGTTGGTAAATGTGAGTCATTTACAGAACATGTGTTGCTCTTGCTACACCATGCTGAGACAGCCAGGAGGAGGGGTTTTCTCTGAACCAGTCTCATTTCACTTAAACCTTGAGTATTTGATGATTTTTTAAAAAACCTCTTCCATCAACCAAGGTTTGCTATGGCAGTCCTTGACCCTCAGACTCTTATTGTATATGATTTTATTGTCAGAATAATGCTGCATAAGAAATCTCAAAAACCTGTGGCTTAACATGCTAAGCATCTATTTAGTTCATGACTGCAGGTTGAGTGTGCCCACCCCTTCTGGTTCACTCATGCTGGGCTCATGGCCCTGCACTTTGTCAGCTGTGAGTCCTCTAGGCTATACTCTTTCCCATGTGTCTGAGACTTGGCTGACCTTGGCTTTGCTCACTCCTCCATCAGTAAGCAGTTGGTCTCATGGTCTAGGATAGCCTCAGCCAGACACCTTGTCGCTCTGTTCTTCATAGTCTCCCATTTCCCAACAGGAGAGCCAGGCTTGTTCACATGGCCACTGGGCAGGTTTCCAAGAGAGTCAGTCCAATTGCACAAGTTTCTTGAGACTTGGTCACAGAACCAGCACATAACTGACCACAGCAAGTCACAGGTCAGCCAGATTTAAGGTTGGGGAAAAGATTCCTCTTGATGACCTCTCAGAGGTCACTGTACAAAAGGTACAGAGCCTTTTGTACTGGAGAATTGGAACCATTTTGCAGTTATTCTACCAAAGAGTCAAATAATCATCTCTTCTTAAACATGCTTCCATGAGAGTTTTCATCCTTCAGGAAAACACGTGCATCTTCGTTTAGGTACACTCAGATGTGTGCACAAAGATACACACAGTCTTCACGACCACACTGAGAGGAAATAAAAACAGGAAAGAATTTGGTAAAGGGGATGACTGAAGAGGTATATGACTGCCCATTAGAAGACTACACAATGGAACAATACACATGCACTTGTGATGCTTCTAGACAGGGCACCAGAGCGACGTGGCTGACTCTGGAGTCCGTCAGGACGTTGGCAATGGCAGCATGGCAGGGTACTTTTACTTTTTATTTCCTTCAGTGCCATTTGAATTGTTTTTTTTAGATGCTAGCTTAACTTTCAAAACTTGAAAACTGACTTCTAAAATGAAATTCACAATAATTTATGGCTATGTCAATTTTCCAATAAATAACCAAATGGCCAACTGCCATATACTCCAGCCATACCTAACACAGCTTATTTTATTTTTAATTGGCACGTAATAATTGTACATATTTACAGGATATAGTGTGGTGTTCCTATATACAAACACAACATGTAATGATAAAATAATCAGCATGTCCATCTCCTCAAGCATTTATCCTTTCTTTTTTTCTTACTATTTTGAAATGCACAATATATTGTTGTTATCTATAGTCACCCTGTTATGCAGTGGAACACTAGGATTTCCTCCCCCATCTAACCGTAACTTTGTACCTGTGGCTAACTTCCCTCCCTCCCCTCCCCTGATTCCCTTCCGGCCTCTGGGAACCATGCTACTCTCCACCTCTGTAAGATTGACTTTTTTAGATTCCACACATAAGTGACACGAGGCAGTATTTATCTTTCTTTGCTGGGCTTATTTCACTTAACATAGTGTCCTCCAAGCTCATCCAAATGATAGGATTTCATTCTGTTCATGGCTGAATAGTATTCCATTGTGTAACTATGCCACATTTTCTTTATCCATTGATGCACGCTTAGATTAATTCCGTGTCTTGACTACTGTGAATAATGCTGCCATAAACATGGAAGTGCAGATGCCTCTTCCACCTACTGATTTCAATTCCTTTGGATATACACCCAGTTGGAACTAATAAATGAATTTAGTGACTGTTCCAGGATACAAAATCAGCATACAAAATCAATAGTGTTTCTGTAGACTACTGAACTATCTAAAAAAGGTAATCAGGAAAACAGTCTCATTTATTTGTAATAGTTACCCAAGAAAAAGAAGCTAGGCATAAATTTAACTGAACACATGAAAGATCTCACAATGAAAACTATAAAACGTTGATGAAAGAAACTGAAGAGGGCACAAATGAATGAAAAGGCATCACACACTCACAGAGCAGAAGAATTGCTACTGTTGAAATGTCTGTATACCTACAAATAACCTACAGCTTCAGTGCAATCCCTCTCCAAATACCAATGACGTTCTTCATAGAAATAGAGAAAAAATCCCAAAATGTATATGAAACTATAAGACTCCAAATATCCACAGCAATTGGGAGAGAACAAACAACCAAGCCCATTGGAACTAAGTGTTTGAACGCCACGTGAGGAAAAAGTGTAACTGAGCATCCAGAAGACCCAGTTCTGGAATCAGAAAGATATGAATTTGACTCCTGGTGCCACTACCTACTTACTGTGGCTTGGGGCAAGTGACTTGGCTACTCTGCCTCAAATGTGTGACAGTCATTATTATTAAGGTGTCTACACCTTGTCCAATTTCCTCTCCTCTCTCCTTGGCTCTTTTGCTTCTCCTTGGGTTGTCGTCAGATAGGCAGTTGGGGACCCAAGTGATTGGGGTCAGTGAAAGACAAGTTAGCTTACAAAGTAACAGCCTGTGGTGGTTTAAAAACATGGTCACAACGTTTTTGATCCTCTTTCCAAAAGAGGTGCCTTCCTTTGACCTGGGCTGACTTGTAAGTGGTCTGACCACTGAAAAAGAGCAGAAGTGATACTCAGTGGCTTCTGGAACCATTTCAGAAAAAAAAAAACATGCAGCAACCCCCTGGTTCTCTTGGGGCCCTTACTCCAGGGACTCAGCTGCCATGTGAGAAATGTGAATCTTCTAAGGACACCATGCTGAAGAGACCAAGTGCCAGGCCCTGCCTGGCAGCTAGCTTCAATGGCCAGCCATGGGCCTGACCCTTCCAGTCAAGCCTTCAGGAGACCTAGGCCCCAGCCAACATCTGACTGCAGCCCCATGAGAGAACCCAAGCTAGATGTGACCAGCTAAGTCCTTTCCAAATTCCCAACCCATAAAGGTATGGGCAGAATAAATCAATTATTACTTTATGCCACTAAGCTTTATGGCATCATTAATTGGGACACCGTTGAATTGAGTGTAAGCCAGTTCATAGAGTCAGGATTTTCTCCATTTAATTATGAATGAAAGAAAGTCAAAAGGAACATTATTTTGAAAAGCTTGCATTTTGTTTCATTTTATTGTTTACTCCTTTGTACTTCATCATAGCAAACTTAACACAAATTTCGTCTACACCTTCTTTCCATACCTTCACTTCCCAACTGGTTTGTACCTTAACCAGCTACAGCCTGCCTTGAATTTCAGAATTTTCTAGCAAGGTCATCACCAGCTTCCACCGTCTCCTGATCTCAGCACCTCCCATGAGCGTGACCACCCTCTCTGCATGGAGTTGCTCACTCACATTTGCAACCTGGCCAGGACCTGCCTAAGAGGCCTAGCATGCCAGGATGTCCCTTTGGAGCTGACCAGGTGCAGGTGGACAGCAGTGGATAGTGTCTTCTTGCCCCTCTGCACACCATGGATCTAACCTAGAGCTACAAGCTGCATCCTAAATGGGGACAAGGAAAGTTATAAGTGGCCATGACTCATATTTGTGAGAGAGGAGCTAGGGAAGGTGAAGGTGGGGGACAGGGTGGGAAAACAAGGAAAGCCAGCATCAGGAATCCCACAGTGCAGAAGGGTGCCTCGACCTGTGTGCAGTATCCTTGGGCCTGCATGCACACACACACACACACACACACACACACCCTCCAGCCTTGACTGCCACATGTCATAGTTTAGAGCTGTGTGAAGTGGTACATGGAGAAGGCTGGTCAAGCCCTTGCCTGCCTGTCTGTCTGTTCAGCCTCTGGTCCTCAGCACAAAGTCAGGATTGGCAAATGTTGGCAAACCCTTCAAAGAGGGCTTGGTTTGTCCTTTTGGGAAGGGATGGTGTTGGGACTGAAGACAACTGTCTATAGTGAAGTCAGACTCTTAACTGTGGATAACGTGGCAAATTTAAAGGTGGGCGGTTCATGATGCTGTTCCAGTCCTCCTCCCGAGGAGTCCCGTCTAGGTAGCTGGGAACGACCTATGAAATAAGTTTGGCCAGAGGAGAGAGAAAACTGTTCAGCCAAGATGGTTTGAAGGTGTGTGGAGAGTTTATGTTCCTACCCAGTCTCTTCCTCTTCATCTCATTGTTTGTCTATTGGATCCTTAATTGCAGACACTTAAAATATTGAGATGGGGTAAAGCAAGTGGCAAGTAATTACTATTTTAAATGTATATTAAAAAGCACTTTTCCAACATGTAGAATGTTTTCAAATGTGATAAATTTGCCAAATAGTTCAAAGAAAGACACAAATCAAAAGTGAAGTATATTACATATTTTTTCAGTCTAATCTCTAAAGTTGCAAGCATTTGAATGGTTGGTGTTATAGAGTGAGAAAAGGAGAAGCCTGGAGGCAGACAGCCTCCATTAGACCCAGAAGGAAGAGGGCCGTCGAGCCAATCCAATTTTCAGGGGGATCAGCAACAAGTGCCACTCCATTGAGAAAGCCCATAACAGAGCAAGTGCTGGTTCCTCGCAGCCTACTCAGGCTGTGAGGACTACTTCCGTGACACCAGTGAACAAACTGGATCCTTGCCCGGGTCAAACCTGTGGCCAGCAGGCCAGGAAACGAGTTGGCAGCCCACAGGTTCCCGGTGATTGGCTGGTGTGGTCAGGTGTCCAGGGGCTCACTGATCAGTCCTCCAGATCATTTCAAAACAGGAATAAGGACCCCCCCCCAGTGACCCAGAAAAGACCAGACAGTGTCTGAGAACATTTGGAAGTACTCTAGGTCAAGAATCTGTAAGACTTGACTTGGGTAGAGCCCCAAACCAGATCTTTTATGGACTGTGGCCATTACCAATGCCTCTGTGTCCCCTTTGGGAAGGGACAGCATCAGAGCTGAGGCCAGGGCAACTCACAGAGTCCTGAGAGAATTCTGTGCCAAAGTCAGGTGGTCCTCACCACTTGTTCATTAATCCTCCTCTGAAAAGTTGTAATTATTGCAGCCAAGAGCCAGTGTTCTTCTGGGAGAGTCAATTTTGAAAACTCTGGTTTGGCAAATTCTTTTCATCCCTTCCTAAGTTTTTGTTTCCTTTTTCTCATTTCCTTTTGATTCCTTGGTTTCTCTGGTCCCATCGGTGGAGAACTGTATCTATATATTGTATGTTGTTTCCAGAAGGACCATCTACCTCAGAGAGCAGGTCCCTCAGAGAGAGAGAGCTCCAGAAGTTGTCTCTAGCAACATAGATGACAACTTCAAGCTCCCTTCTCTCCTTGTGAAAGAAACCCACTGGGCCTGGCTGATGCAGCCCAAGTTCTTCAGGGTTTTCACAAGATCCCGGCGGAATCTCTCACCCACAAAAACGTAGAGAACCGGGTTCAGGCAACTGTGGAAAAAGGCAATGGTCTGAGTAACCTGGAAGCAGATATCAATGTTGGTGGATATGGCACAGTTGGAAATGAACATGGTATAAGCATCTATGGTCTGCACTAACAGAATGCAGTTGTAGGGAAACTGAGACAAGACAAAGACAGTGAGGACAGTGATGGTCACCTTCAGGGCCTTGTGCTTGGAAGACCTCTTGGCCTGATTTAGGGTATGAATGATGATGGTGTAACAGCTAGCCATGACTACAAAGGGAAGGAAGAACCCCAGGATGACCTTCAGAGTCAAGACAGCTGACTTGAGTTTGGTACTTTCATCGCTAGGGTAAACCATGGTACAGACAGTGATGCTAGCTTGCTCCTTGACTTGGCTGTACAGGAGTTCTGGGATGCAGAGCACAGCCGCCATCACCCAGATGGCAACACAAACCATCTTGCTGTAGAGAAGTCTCTTCCACCGCCAGGTCTGCGCTTTCATGGCCTGCGCAATGGCAATGTACCTATCCACGCTGATGCACATGATCAATAACACACAGCTGTAGAAATTCATCTTGTACATGCCGTTGACTACTTTGCACATGAAGGTCTGGAAAGTCCATTGGTCAGCAGCGGCAATGGCCCAGAAGGGAAGAGTGACGAGAAACAGAAGGTCAGCAATCGCCAAATTCAAAAGGAACATGTCAGTCATGGTCTTCACTCTTGTGCAGTACCAGTAGACAAGGACGACCAGACTGTTGCCCAGCGTTCCTACAATGAACACGAGCCAATACAGGGGGGGCAGGAAATGGCTTGCAAACTTCCTGACATTATTTTTCTTACAGAAGACGTCAGTGAAGTTGAAGTTCACATAGTCATCCATAGAGGATGTGGAGTCGTAGCTGTAGTCATCAGACATATCAGGAACAAGGTTCTGCAAGGGGACACAAGATGATTTTAGGTTAAAGGCAATCTTTTGAAGGTCCTGTGTGATGGCAAAGACATGGACCACTTGGTCTTTCCTACCCCAAAAATCTGTGGGAAAGCAAAAAGTGTGGATGTGTAGAGTGGGGATTGCTACAGCGTGATATGGCTTGACCGTGTCCCCCAAAGATACAAATGCTGGAATATCGGTCTGCAGGGTGGAGGCGTGGAGGTGGTAGGACCTTTATGAGTTGGGATCTAGTGGAAGCACATTATCCTCGAAAGGCATTAATGTACTGCTCTTGATCCCACTTAGTTCCTGTGACAGTGGGTTATTATAAACAGTAAGCCTGGCCCCTGAATCCCTCTTGCTTCCTGTCTTGCCTGTGACTGCTCATCCCCTCGTCTACATGCTCCCACCATGGTACCATCTGCCATGTTGTGATGTAGCCAGATGGGGTCACCTGATCTTAGACTTTCAACCTCTAATCCATGAGCTAAATAAACTTCTCCTTATACATAATCTAGCATGAGGCATTTTGTTATAACATTAGAAAATGAACCAATACAACAGATGTTTATTTATTTATTCAGCAGATGTTTATTGGGCATGTCCTGTAGGTTGGTTACTATCCTAAGTGCTAAAGATACCATGGTAGATAAGTCAGACGTGGTTCTCATTCTCATGGGATTTACCTTATTCAGGAAGGATACAGACAAGCAAGTGAACAGATGCTCTGATGGGGTTTGAAAAGTCTGCTTCAGGACCACTGATGGGCACTTTTATCAAACTGTGTGAATGATTGACATCGTGTAATGGTTTCTTCTCCCAACTATTCTACACCTCTCCAACAAGGTCAACAGGGGCTCTTAAACTCATATGGTCTCAATTTGCTTGAGACTTGGAGCCCTCAGTCAACATTCCCTGCCTTAGTTTCCTCATCGGTAAACTGGGCTCTGCCCTTCCTATGGAGCTGAAGGCAAGGGGACACACGGGTAGCAACTGCCACAGGATGTTCCCAGAAGGAGGGACCCAGGATGTCATGGCTACTTGCCACCCAGAATGAGAGCCAAAGCCACAGAGGTCCCTTTGAAGCTACAGGTTCCCTTGACACTAGACTCCTCTGACCATGTTAGGTCAAGGTTGGAGGGTATTTTTCTTCTTATCTGGGACTACCTTGTAGAGTTAGGCTATTTTCCTAGATTCTAAACCAAGTGACTGACAGTCTCAGAAGTAGCCCTTCTCTGCTGCCTCAACAACGCTCTGTTCTCAACTTTGGGGCCCAAGAGGTGAATTCTCATGTCAGAGAAAATCAGGGGTTCAATTCTTATCGGCTAAATAGACTCACTTCCTTACATCACTAGGACCAAACTAATGACCTTTTCTGTTGTTATGGATGGATGTGCAGCTACATAACTATACATATGTAATGCAAAAGAATCCTAACATATCACAAAGCATGAAGTTAACAAACTGTTTCAACCACCATCTGTCGCCATGGACCCTACAATGTCCTTGAAAGGACAATGTGTGAGCCCTGCTAAAAAGACTCGACTTTAATTATCTACATAGGAAACTCAGATTTTCCCTTTGAGAAAAGCAAAATTAAAGCCCTAGATATTTTTATAAGGCACATATAATTTGATTTATAATTAATTAGTTCTACACTTAATTCCATTTGGCTGTAAAAGAAAAAATGTTTTCTAGATAATGATTTGACTTAATATATTTTGTTCGACTCTTTTCCTTTTTCTTTTTTTTTTTTTTTGAAGTACTGGGGTTTTTTTGACTCAAGGCCTACACCTTGAACCACTCCAGCCCTTTTGTGTGTGTGTTGGGCATTTGTTGAGATAGGGTCTTGCAAACTAGTTGCCCAGGCTGGCTTTGAACTGTGGTTGTCCTGATCTCTGCCTCCTGAGTAGCTAGGATCACAGGCATGAGCCACTGGTGCCCGGCTCAACTCTTATTCTTTTTCAGAGAAATATATACTTTGTTATGCTTTTGAAAGGAATGCACTAATGTACCCACCCCTCTGTGGAGCTTTGAAAAACAGGTTCTCCCTTACCCTCTTTTGTCTTAGTCTCAGACACATGGAACTAAGCCCATTCTAGTTAAAAGTCATTAAAAACCTAACTACTAATAAAACCTAAAATCAAAATTTCCTCTGTCTTCACAACATCCACCCCAAAGCCAACTCTATTTTGGGCAACCCACCCAATGAGGGCATTGGGAAATTCATCCCTCGAAGTAGATTCCTCCTCATTTCCCCCAAGCAGGAAATACCAGAGGATGAGAATGTGTTTTGGGTGCATGGGTTTTTTGGAGTGCATGGCTGTACTCACCATGAGTTCTGTGGGTGTCATGGTGGGTCAGGTGCTAGCCTGCTTCTAGAAAGAGAAAGCAAACATCAAAGAGAGGACTGACTTGCAAATGTACAATAGTAACCAAACACCAAGAGATGAATATTAAACATCAAACCTGTTTCTGCTTATGAAAAAAAAAATGCAAACAAGAGTTCATGTTAGGTGTGGTGGTTCATTCCTATAATCCCAGCCCTTGGGAGGCCGAGGCAGGAGACTCTCCAGTTCAAGAGCAGCCTTGGCTGCTTAGCGAGACCCTGTCTCAAAAAAGATAGAATTCATGTTATGCTGATGTCAGTCAGGTAATCCAGATTTCAGAACCACCTTGATTATTAACACAGAAAAGAAAGAAACTTCTCTTTTGAAGTTATCGTTTACTTCGACTCTGATAGTCATCCGATTCTAGTATGTTTCCTTTTTACTTAGGCAATAATTAGTGTGTCTTGCACCCATGGATGAGGAACCACAAAGGATGTCTTAAATTTTTTCCAGCTTGTCATTTTTACATTAGCTCATTTTCTTCTGATCTAGCTTCTCTGTTAAGCCCTGCTTCTCAATGGCTCTCAATGGCTCTCCCTCCTCCCCGCACTCACCTAATTCTGTCAGCTAAGGGATTCGCTAAAGGTCCATGGTTGCTCTAAGGCTGGTCTTCCCTGGGGAAGGGTGTCTGGGTACCCAGGTAGTGAGGAGACCGAACCTTAAATAACCAGAGAAACAACAGCTGGACTTCCTTCAAGCAAGGTCTGCACCTAAGTGGATACTGCCTTTCCCACCCTGAGCAAGTACACTTCAAAGAAACTTTTGAGTGCTACACCCAAGGTTCTAGAAAAAAACACATCCAATTCAATCTGCTGGCTTCTCTTCTCTAAACTTGTGACCCACGCTGCTAGTGTAAGTAGTGTGTTTCAATACACAAAAAGTATGGTACAACTGAGAGAGAGAGGGAGGGAGGGAGGGGGGAGGAAGAAGGAAGGAAGGAAGGAAGGAGAGAAGGAAGGAAGAAAGGAAGCTTGGAGCAGGACTGAACCTGAAATAAATCTGGGCAGCCTCAGCCTCTGCTCATGGCCTCATACCAGCGACCTGGACATAAGCTGAATTTTACCATGGCCCCCTGGGTGCCAGGAATATTCTGGCATTTAGCTTTAAAAAATACTATGTTTTGTTTTGTGGCTTTTTTAATTTAAAAGCAACATGCTATAATATGCAAAAGTTGAAAAGAGAAGAAAAATCAAAATTACCTGTAATCTCACCACTTCCAAATAAATGCACTTAATTTTTGTCATTTCCACCTCTCTGCCACCCCCACCCCAGCCTGTTTCTATGCATGTATACACTTCATAGTTTGCTCTTTTTTTTCACCTATCAGATCATAAGTGTTTCCTCCATCGTTAAGTACCTTCCACACCTGAACACTGGCCACATAGCATTCCGACAGGGGCTGACCCATAATTCACTTAAACATTCCCCTCTGTGACACATTCAGCTCACTTCCAACCTCCTTTCAGAATTGTTTGGAAATAGTTCCAGGAGAATGGGAAGTGGATTTTCTTCATAAAAACTGTACCTTCCTTTTCCTCCTCAGCTCAAGAACTACTCACTCTCCCCCAAGTAGTGTTCCTGTATTATTATTATTCTGGGGTCCTTGGTTCTTTGGAGTGAGAGGTTTCTGCTCAGTATCACTCCAGATACCCTCAAGAAATCCCATCAGCTGGGTGCCAATGTCTCACACCTGTAATCCTAGCTACTCAGAGGCAGAGATCAGGAGGATCAAGGTTCAAAACCAGCCCTGGGTAAATAGTTCATGAGACCCTATCTTGAAAATACCCATCACAAAAAAGAACTGGTAGAGTGGCTCAAAAGTAGAGCACTGGCCTAGAAAGCACATGGCCCTAAGTTCAAACCCCAGTACCACAAAAAAAAAAAAAAAGTTCCATCAGTCTTTGTTTTGAGATAGGAAATTCAACAAGCAAGAAGAAAAGCAGTCACTTAGAAGCTGAGCATTACTTTTTTTCTCCCAGATGAAAAACGCCCAGTTGAGTCTGGAAGGCCACAACCCAACAAATTCAATTTCACGACAACTTGGGGAGTGGGGAGACTAAGTAAGAAAACACTTTCTAGAGCACATGGTTTATGTCACTTCCTTTTTCCTTGCACAAAGAGCGTGTGTATTGATCGGATGACATCTGAGAAAAATTCTCAAAGAAAGAAACCACTAAGTGAAGAACAGCTTTGCTCATGGTTCCTTAGGGCAAGTTTTAAGTTGAAATTAGCAACATATATTAATGGTGTTGGCGCAGGTGTGGACAAAAGGCCCCCGAACTGCTGTGGAAAGGGTAAACTACTTTGAAGGGTTAAACCATACCTGTCAAAATTTACAAAGCAGGATGTCTCTGACTCGACAGATAATGGGCTGAGAATTTTCCCTGGTCTCACAAAATAACATAAAGATATAGGTACACTGTTGTAGGTTGGAGCATCTTCTTACAGATGAAAACCCTGGAATTAACCTAAATATCCTATAGTTAGTAATAGGATGATACGTCCAGGCCATAAACCACTCGTTGCCAATAAAAACAAAAAGAACCACCTGAAGCTGATAGAAAAGAGACCACCAAAACTATTAGAAAAAAAGGCAAGATGTAGAAGATGGTGTTGAATGATCTTTTAAAATTATTTCTTTTTTCCTTTTTGGCAATATTTGGGTTTGAATTCAGCACCTCGAGCTTGCTAGGCGGGCGATCTACTACTTGAGCTGCACCCCTGATTTTTTTTTTCAGAAAAATACATAAAAGATAAGACACTTCCCTGCTGATCAGCACAAAGGCTTTTCTGGAAAGAACCTGAACCATGATGAC